GCTGGAGTGCAGTGGCATGATCATGGCCACCACAGCCTCCACCTACTGGGCTCAGGCAATCCTTCCACCTCAGCCTTCCAAGTAGCTGGAACTACAGGTGAGCGCCACTACACTTGGCTAATTTTTTTTGTTTTATTGCAGAGATGAGATCTCGCCAAGTTGCCCAGGCTCTTCTCGAATCCCTGAGCTCAGCCAGTTGTCTTGCTTCTACCTCCCAAAGTGCTGGGATTATAGGTGTGAGCCACTGCGCCCGGACCATTTTATCTTTACAATAGTCCTGTGAGGAAGATACACTAAAATTATCATCAACTTACAGCTGAAGAGACTGTGGCATAGAGAGAAGTTAAATACTTCAGTTGCTAACTGACTTTAGGCAACTTGACCTCTCTGACCCTGTTTCCCCAATTATAAAATTGCATTAGGAAGAAGGCATGGTGTGGTATTATCTTACAGTGGTGTGAATTCTCCCCTGGCTCATGGTGTCACCAAGGACTTCATGTTTCTCCTGCCTGTGAGTTCCCAGGGCCCCAGTGACATTTCCTGGGGCCAGCTTGCTTTGGCTTCTGCCACAGTCTTACAGGTTGCACAGGTTTCTGACACTTTATTCATGAGTTCCTCAGAGCGGGTTTTTGCACCAGAAATTTGGTCTGAATCCAGGCCTATACTTTTGTGAACCTTGGAATTCTGATTGCCTGTGATGGCTTTTTCCATCCATTGCCTGTTGGGTAGCTAGCTTCCATGGTTCATGCCGGGGGCTGGGGATGGATTTTTTTTCTCCATCTTCTGTTCCCAGAAGACAGAACTTTTTTTTTTTGAGTTGGAGTTGCCCAGAGTGCTGTGGCACGGTCATGGCAGCCTTGACCTGCTGGGTTTAGGCAATCTTTTCCGCCTCAGCCTTCCAAGTAGCTGGAACTACAGACACATACTACCACATCCAGCTAGCTTTTGTGATTTTATTATAGAGATGTCTCACCAAGTTGCCCAGACTGGTCTCGAATCCCCGGGCTCAGGCAATGCTCTTGCCTTGGCCTCCCAAAGTGCTGGGATTACAGGTTGTGCCACTGCGCCTGGTTATTTTTTTTTCTTTCCTTTAGCCTCTTTTTTTTTTTTTGAGTTGGAGTCTCATTCTGTCGCCCAGACTGGAGTGCAGTGGCCGCTCCCGACCACCGCAGCCTCGACCTGCTGGGCTCCAGTGATCCTTCCTCCTCAGCCTTCCGAGTAGCCGGAATTACAGGCATGCGCTACCACGCCCGGCTGATTTTTTGATTTATTGTAGAGATGAGGTCTCGCTGGA